TTTCGGTTCTTTTGTATAACGGATTGGGAATTCATAACTTTGATTTTTATAGACTGGATAAAAAATTTCTTTCTCCCATTATCGTGCAAATGGAATAAGGGTATGCAATCTCTTAGGCGCTGAAGCCTGGAAGCAGAATATACTAATTAGTATGATACCACGCAAAGATGTTGAATCTGGAAAATATCCCGGTGCCCATGTATTTTCTCTGGTAAAAGGCCTCAATAATAAACGACCAGTTACAGGTTTGGATTTTGCATCATTATATCCATCTATTTTCATGACTTACAACTTTTCACCCGAAATGATGATATTAGAGGAAAAAACAGCTACCGAACTACAACAGAAAGGAATACGTCTCCATAAAATCGAATTCACATTTAATGGTCGAACATTACAAGCCTGGTCGGTATTACATGAAAACAAAATCGATAAAAAAGGGTTGTATCCATTAGTTCTGGAAAAACTTCTGGATAAGCGTAATAAAATGAAGTTCGATCTTGCTATTCTAGATAAGAAAAAGGAGTATATGGAATTGGTTATTAGTAAAATGAAAGAAAGGAATTTATCATTAATGGATGCTATAGATAACGTCTTGGATAACGCAGAAAATAAAGAAGAACGTTCTGCTAAGATTTCAATCTTAATTCCTTTTAGTAAAGATTATAACGTTTTTATAACAGAATATGAATCTGTATGTTTTGACTATACCTATTTGGATTCGAAACAAAAGGCAATAAAAGTTTATATGAATTCATTTTACGGTGAAACAGGTAATAGTCTATCCCCGTTCTTTCTACGCCATATTGCTGGAGCTGTTACTTCAGCAGGTCAGTTCAATATTAAGCTTGTTGCAGAATACGTACTAAAAAAAGGATATGGAATTCAATATGGCGATACTGATTCATTGTATCTTACCTGTCCCGAAGATAATTATAAGAAATGTGATCTAGCTTATAGAAACAATTCAATTTCAACACTAGAGTATTGGACCGAAATGGTTAATATTATCATGAAAGTAATGGAGAAATTACGCAATGAAGTGAATACCTATCTTAAGATAAAAAGTAGATCAACTTATCTCAAAATGGCTTATGAGGAGGTATTATTTCCTGTTGTTTTCACTGGTAAAAAGAAATATTTTGGAATTCCTCACGAGAAAAAAGTAAACTTTAAGCCAAAAAAGTTATTTATTAAAGGGATCGATACTGTGAAGCAGGGACAATCAAAACTCTTTATAACTATTAGTGAACGAATTATGTGGAAAGCTATGGAAGTCGAGGATAACCAATCACTCCATAAAATTGTTGAAGATGTTCTCAGAGATGCCGTAACAAATTCTAAACAATGGGAGTTTGACCAATTCATTCAAACTGATACGTGGAAACCCAATGTTCAAAACTTAACTGTTCAGCGGTTCATAGAGCGAATGAGAAAAACCTATAAAGATAAGATTCCTGAACCGGGTGAGCGTTTCAGTTATGTAATACCCAAAACTGATATAGATTTTGATTTATCTGGTAAAAAGTCAAATCTAACTAAGGGAGACCGAATAGAATTTGTTGATGTGACAAAGGAACTCAAAAAGGACATAGACTTATTATATTATCTCCAAAATAAAATTATTGGCCTTTGTGCCAGATTTATCAACTATGACGATAGATACCAACCACCGCTCTCTGATAAGATCCGGCAACTCAAAGACTCGGATGAGAAATATAAGCAAATTGACGAGTATTCTCAGAAAAAAGTCAAGAAATGGCTTGAGGAATATGTAGATGGCTTGAGTGGTATTAGTCCCAAAATGATGCTTAATCGTGGATATGCTTACAAACGTGCTTACAAGAATGCAATCAAAACCGCACAATCTATATTACATCAGAAGATAGGTAATACCTATGAGATATTTCATGGGGAATGGCTTAATTTTGAGGATTTTAAGGTAATTAATACTGTTGAGAGATTATGGGAAAAGTTCGTAGAGTATGTCAGAGCATATACTGAAAACGATAATCTCTTGATAAGTGAAGGGATAAAAAAATCTATATGCTTCGATTTTACGAAACACCTAAATGCACTTATCCCAATTATCAAAAAATATGATGCATCTTTTCATCAATTAGTATATCACATGCGATATAAAGAACACATATCAAACCCAGATAAAATTGGCCCACCCGAAACTATGAGAAAAAATGAGATAGTTATCAAGCAACTATTATATTCAATATAACGAAAGCTGATTAACTGGTACTCGACAGTTTTCTAAATATATGGTATAAGGCAGTCAACTCAATATAAATATAACACTATATCTATGAGGCTATACAATATTAATTATATTTTTTCGTACATAAATACTATCCAAGTTCAAATAGATAATATCAGTTATCCGATCCACATATTCCTCAACCGTTCACTTTTCCTATCCAGCCCCCATGTACGTCTCAAAACAATACTCGGAATTTATTGATATTATCTCCTGGGATAAATATTTATTTTTCAATTCTTTTTTATATGTTTTATTCTATTTTTAAATCATATTATAGCCACTTTGTGACTGCGAAGAAAAAATGCAAGATTGTGATGAGATTGATACTAATGCCTTTATTTATGCCAAAAGACGTGAAGGTAAATGTCTAGCTAAACATGAATATATTCCGGGTATTTACTTATGGTCATGTAAAAATAATCATCAATGGAAAGAATCTTATGATGATATAAAGCGAAATTATAGGTGGTGTAACATTTGTCCTCATATACCAGAAAGAACATGTCGATACATTTTCGAAGATTTATTACATAAAAAATTTCCACCTCGTAAACCTAAATTTTTAGAAGGTTTACATCTTGACGGGTATAATGAAGAGTTAAATTTAGCTTTTGAATTTAGCGGTAGTCAACATTATCAGATCGTACCTTTTTTTCACCCGCAAGGTCAAAAAGATTTGGATGCACAAATTCAACGCGATTGGAAAAAGAGAGCACTCTGTTTCAAGGAGGGTATAATTCTTATCACAATCCCTTATTGTGTTGTTGATTTGTCAACTTTTATTAAGAGCGCCTTGATCGCATTCGGTTATCTTCTAAGACCCACCGGGGAGGTAATATAGGCTCTTCCTTAATATACATTAATTGTTCCCTTACGAAGGGACGCTGAGGTCCTGACTCATCTAAATAATATAAAACAGGCATCGGAGGATTCTTTCCGACAACAATTCTTCGGATTTTATGTAGGCTGGGAGACCATACTGGATCTGTTATTCTGCGCCGTTCGAAAGGATCATTTTCCCATTCTCCTTTAGCAAGCAAAAATCGGACAGTGGTATCTTTTGGCAACTGGGGTTCATTAATACCAATCGGACGATTATATTTTACTGATGACTTGGAATACACCCGTTCAAGTTTCATGGCATCATTAGGGCTCATTCCAATTAACCGAGTTGAGGTAATATTCATATTATCAACAATTTTACGTGCAAATCGCTCACACTCTTTACAGCGTTCACCACTAGGTAAGAGAAATTCTATCGAATACTGATTCTTAAAAACTCTCAAAGTGAAAAGTCCAGCATAACGGTCAACAATTGCTAAGCTAGTATGTCTGAAGCGAGCTTTGATTCTTCTAATCCTAACTCCATGCTTATTCA